CCGCCGCAACACCCTCTTGCCTCCGCCCACCATTCCTAGTCCGCTCCTCCTCCTCCTCTCCTGCGGTCTGGACCCTCCTCACACCTGCCCAGCTTATTTTCGCCTTCCTCACTCTTGCTGCTCTGGTTTCCGCCCATCTCTTGCTACTACTCTTTGCCTTGTATGAAGGCGAGGAAAGGGACCTCGGGGTTAAGCCTTAGGCTGTTCCCACTTTACACTGCTCTGAAAGCCCCAGGTGGTGGTAGTTTCCCTAATCGGTCCAGAGGGGCGTGTCCTCGGTGGAGAAAGGGAGGGTGGAGGATGCAGGCGGGAGCCAGTCTGGAGATCGGTGATCTTGATTATCCCCCTAACCTTTTGTTTTTACTGGATCAAGCTTAGTTTTGGAACTGGTGAGATTGAGGAATCATCTTCGCTGTCCCACACCCTTCTCTGTGCGTTTCCCTTCCTTCTGCACCATCCGCCGCTCAGTGGGAGTCCTTGAGCATCCCAGCCGCTCCCGCGCACAGCTCCTTCCAGCCACCGCAGTGCAGCCTCAAGCAGTTCCTTACGCCCCCGGCAACAGCTCAGTAAAACCCTGAGGGGATGGCTGTATTGACTGGAATTGGTGGTGGGGGAAAAGGGGACAGCGCCTGCGAATTACCCAGACCCTAGGAGCTCCAAGCTGTACTAGCACACACTAGGCTGGATCCTTTCCAGTCCATCTTGGTGGTTGCGGCGTTAAGCAGAGGTTGGGAAGTCCTTCCCAAAACCACGCGCAGCCCCAGCACGAGAAAACTTTGTTCGTTTTAAAAGAGGCGCGGTCCTTCACCCTGCGTGTGAGTGGCTCTGGCCAGAGATTGCTAAACTGAGCAGAGGAATGTTCTTTAGAGCGGGAGGAAATCTTTACAGTCTTGCTCTTTGCGGAGAGGAACACAAGGGAAGTAGCTAGGTTGTATTGAAGGAGGGCTCCGTGTGTGTGTGTGTGTGTGTGTGTGTGTGTGTTGCCTTGGGTCTTCTTTGCTGTGCGGGCTTTATCTAGTTGCGGCGAGCGGGGGCTACTCTTCATTGTGAGCGCAGGCTTCTCATTGCGGTGGCTTCTCTTGTTGCGGAGCCTGGGCTCTAGGCCCGTGGGCTTCAGTAGTTGTAGCACTCCGGCTCAGCAGCTGTGGCGCAGGGGCCTAGTTGCTCCACCGCATGTCGGATCCTCCACGACGGGGGGCTCGAACTCGTGTCTCCTGCATTGGCTGGCGGATTCCTAACCACTGAGCCACCATGGAAGCCCCTCCCTCTGTTTCTTTCCACATTTCCTAGCTTCTTGGTCAAAGAGGGGCAGCCCTTACTTAGTTTACACCACTCTAATTGTAGCCTCATTGCTTTCTCCTGATTCAGGTAGTATCTTTTACATACTCAAGGAAAAACAAACAAATAAATAAGACCCCCCCCCCAAAAAAAACTGTCACATTTTGGTAAGGACTGAGTGTATAGAGTTAATAACTAGAGATTTCTTGGGTTTGAGTTGAGAGGAGTGAAATCCTTAGAGATGGTTGGCAGAGAAGGTACTGATAATTATATATGAAAATAATGAATTGGATAAGTTGATACAAACATTTAAAAAAGATTGCATTCCTGGTGATTGCAGTATCTTATAGGTAGGTATAAGTTATGTAGATATCCATAATTGATAGATCCACTATCTTATAGTCCCCATGTCTTCTGTGTCTCTTTAAAATCACAAAGGTTTCCTGGCAGAAGTTTGCCACACTTTGCAGACAATTTCCAAAATGCATTAACAGCATCCACTTCTGTCATATCTTTTAGTGCTTTGAAAGATTGTCCTTCAGAACATTGAAATGCCATATTCTTTGCATTTCTATTAAGAATGAAAGGCATTTTGTATTAAGAACCCAATAATAGTCAGCTGAAACTCACTGAAATCCAAGGGGCATGGCATAGCATCAAGATAATGACTGCAGATGCTGTGCTCATCAAAACTGATAGTAGAAATGCTGACTGGGAATGTAAAGAAGGTGACTACTTATTCCAGTATATTACTTGGTAGAGTATGAAATGCTTTGGAACTGTTTTAGCTACAGAACTTTATTCTAAAATTGTTTTTTCTGATGAACTTACAAACTATAAACCAATTATATAAATTTTAACAAATGTTAATTTTTTCCTAAAAGAGTACTTTCCAAAGTTCCAAAGTGTTATATTTCATGGCAAGTTTGATATTCTCTCTCTCTCTCTCTATGTATGTATGTATATACACACACATACATATATGTATACACACACCTTTTGGGTTGTATATGACTTGAGTTTAGTTATGGACAAAACACTAAACTAAATCAATTATCAGGGTATCAGTGGTCTGCCAATCAGGGCTGAATATTAATATTTTATTTCTGAGAATTTTATCACTACTTCATACATGCTAAGAAACCTGTCTTTATTCTCCTTGTCATTATTTCACCTTTAAAAAAAATCTGATGGGCTTCCCTGGTGGCGCAGTGGTTGAGAGTCCGCCTGCTGATGCAGGGGACATGGGTTCGTGCCCTGGTCCAGGAAGATCCCACATGCTGCGGAGCGGCTGGGCCCGTGAGCCATGGCCGTTGAGCTGGCGCGTCCAGAGCCTGTGCTCTGCAAAGGGAGAGGCCACAACAGTGAGAGGCCCACATACTGCAAAAAAAAAAAAAAAAAAAAAAAAAAATCTGATGACTGTCATTAGACTTAAGGTTTTTCATTGACTAGAAGGTTGATTAAATTTTATTATAATTTAACAAGAACGGAGTGTACAGTTAATAACTAGAGATTTCTTGGGTTTGGGTTGAGAGGAGTGAAATCCTTAGAGATGGCTGGCAGAGGAAATATTGATAATTAGATATGAAAATAATGAATTGGGTAATTTGATACAAACATTTAAAAAAGAGGGCATTCCTGGTGAATGCAATATCTTATAGGTGGATAGATAGGTATATGTGATGAAGTTTTTATTATAATTTAAAAATTAGTATTTTTAAAATAATGGAATATTCAAATAGGTTTTTCTTCTTTTCAATTGTATAAGACTTGTGGGAAGTTTATGCACAATATTGGAAGTTCTTTCCCTTTCCCTATAAATGATTATGAAATTAGGAAAAGGAGTGATTGTTGCCTTTCTCTTTGTAGGTGATAAGTTGGAAGAGTTTCTTAGATCACTGAATAGCAGCAAGCCCCTCTACCTGGGCCAGACTGGCCTGGGGAATATTGAAGAACTTGGAAAGCTGGGGCTGGAGCCTGGGGAGAACTTCTGCATGGGAGGACCTGGAATGATCTTCAGTCGCGAGGTTCTCAGGAGGATGGTGCCACATATTGGTGAATGCCTCAGAGAAATGTACACGACTCACGAGGACGTGGAAGTAGGAAGATGTGTTCGACGTTTTGGTGGGACTCAGTGCGTCTGGTCTTATGAGGTAAGACGAGCTGTGATGAAAATGTTCTCATATTACAGGTGGGTGACAATTTACAGTCTGATTCTATTTATTCTCTCTGTATCTTTGTATTTGCTTGAAAATGATAGCAACAGCCAGTGATGGACACAAGGGCGATTGTGGGAGATGCCTTTCTTATCAGAGCTGAGGCCTGTCCGAGGCTTTCTTATTAGCGTGACCCATAACTTTAAGCAGCAGCTTATGTATATAGTTACATCTCTGGAAGATGCTACTTCCGCTTTATTTGCTTTATTGGTGTTTATATACATGCGTATCCGTTTCCTGTCTCTAACAATAGGATTAATTCTGTTCTCTTGGGCTATAGCTTTTAGCATTTCGTCCTTTGTTTGTTGTTATTTTGGTTAGGTATATAATCGCATCTCTGTTTTCAAATAGTTAAACTCTGTAGTTTCTTGGAAGATTCTTATGTGGAAATTTAACATACATTTTTAAAGCATAGGAAAAATTAACTCATAATGTTATATCACTTATAATAGACTTATTCACAAAACTTTAAAAGGCATGATTATGTGGAAAAACAGAAGTTCTGACGCTGTTAAGTAACTGCTTAATATTATGACTGGTTCTCTAAAATTTTGTTTTGTGTCTGACCTCATTCCATTTTCTCAACCGCACCCATTATTTAAATAATCTGAGTTATGAACTGTTGTTTTATTGTAGTAATTCGTTTTATGAAATAATCTGAGGTTTTTTTCCTTCACAAATTGGTTTTGAAATGAAAAACAATTGCGTTTAAAACAGTTTTCCTGAAAGTTAATCTTAGTAAAAGTTACTTAACACTTAAATACCGTATTGCCGTTTTCACTACAGTTTGCTTTTCAAGTGGTTGGAGTTAAATGCTTTCTCAGTATCGAAGAAATATTTTATGAAAACTTGTTCCCTGTGAAGAAGTCATTATACCTCAAGATTACACAATCCCATTTATTTTTCTTTTAGAAATGTAATCCCACTTTCCTTAATTTAGCTTTCTCTTTTATGCATCATGATATTTACACTATGGGGAAGTATTTCTTATATTTATTACAGAAAGTAAGTATTAATAGTAACTAGTTACTTGGAATATGTGCTATGCAAATTTAAAATGATTACATACCTTCTTTTATTGATAGAAACTAATTTTCTTTTATAAAACCAACTTACGTATACCTTTATAATAAAAATGTAGATAAGCACATTATAGTTTAAAAATAGGTAATTTAATAAACTCAGTGAAAAAGATTTGTCTTTCCATTTAATATAAAACTATCTGGAAGGCAAAAAAAATACTTCATGTGGAAAACACAGTCAGTTGATATTTGCTTACATGAAAATATTATTTTTCAGACATTGTCTCTGTATGGATGAGTAAAAAAATCATATTTTAAATAAAGATGGAAAATTATTATATTTTATCTGATGCTTTATTGCCTTAACATCACATAGAAAGTTTTAACAAACCTTTTATGTCCCTCCATTCAAGTTTTCATTGATTCTGCTGTGAAGGTACAGTCCTCACCTAGCAGCCTGCCCATTCCTGATCCAAGACAGTAAAATATGCTCAGGTGACCTACATGCTCAAGAGTTGATTTAATGTTTTATTTATAATATAGGCATTTGTTTTGGTTAAAGGGGAGTTAATAGTAGATCTGCACCCTCTCTGTTAGAATAAGTGGAATCTTTTCATTAATTGACATAAAAGAAGAGACAAAGGGAACTCCAAGTCTTGTAGGATATAACTTTATGATCACCATATTTACATTAACTTTTGTCAATACATTTGAATTTTAGACTGACAATTGCCCATCACTAACTTCAGAATCTGTATGAAAAAAATAATTTCTACATTTTTTCATAGCATTAGAAAATGTTATCTTCTAAAGGGATACTGTTTCAGAATGTTGACTTCATATTTTGCTAAGCAATTACATAGAATTGACTTTATTTTGGGATTTCAATCTTTAAAGGAGCTATTTAAACAACATTTATTTTAGAGGTGGCATTGATTTAATCCTAACCCTGACCCTAGCCCTAACCCTAACCCTGAGTCTTATTTAAAGGAATAATGGAAAATTTCTTTACCAAGGAATATATTAAATAGTATCTGTTAATAAATTTAGTAAAGATAAGTATACAATTAAATTATATCTAAGCATTTTAACATTAGGGTGTGTTCTGCATTTCTTGGACACTGAGTAGGTAGATTGGGGCACAGCCAAACTTGGGCTTTCCAGGTTGGGTTTTAGGTTACTTGAAATGTCCAACTATGCTACTGTTCACATTATATGGAAAAATTAAACTGTTCCACTCTGGGTTGGCATTCACATAAAGGTGAAATTTCACATCTGGTCATAGAATAAACCATGAAACCCATCAGTAATTTTGTTTCCATATTTCTTTTATAAGAACCATATATAGCAGAATTTTCTTAAAATTTTGAATTTGCTTTGCTAAACTTTCCATAGCTTTTAGGATTTTGTTTGACTTTTCCTCCTAATAAAAGTTCTTGCAGAGTTAACAGCGCTGTTACAGAAACATGTTCACAATATTTGAGTTTGAATAAATGAAGCATCATGATGGATTGTTATCTTTTAAAAATGATAAACAGGCTTGCAGATCTTGTAGGAAGAGAATTGGACAAAAATATTACAATTATAGATTGTATAGCGTGTAGCTATTCTTGACTATGAATTACATTATTTGAAAATCTAGGAATCTTCTAGTATTCTTTACTGCTGAATTAAAGTCCGCTTTCTCTGTGTATATATACAATTAAGCATAATATTGGCAAAAGGGAAGAGAGAGAAGGATGGGGGGAGAGAGAGAGAGACAGAGAGATAGAGAAACAGAGAGATAGAGGTATAAACTTGAATTTGGGTTTGAGGCACCAGTCTACCACTCATTAGTTTCATTGTATTTTTAAAATTACTTCTCTGAGCCTTGTTTAATTCAATTGAAAGCAGAGATTGTAATGGTGTCTGCCTCATAGATTTTGTAGAAGATTAAGTGAAACGGTGAAATGATCCTTGTAAAGTTCTACATAGTATCTGGCACGTAGTAAATTGTCAATAGGTGTTAGCTATTATTGTTGTAATACTGAATAGATCATGTATGATATTACATATAACATGGTTTCATCACTTTTATTCATTTACTAATTATTATTAATGAGTGATTCATCTATATCAAAAAGTCAGATGAAATAAACTTTTTTCCAGTGAAGAATACAAGTGTAAGGTTTTTTTGGCAAAGAACAAGAAACGAGTATGTTTCAGTATTTTAGAACTATGAGGAATCCAATATTGGTAAAACATAAAACGTGGATGACTTTCAGACATGCACTACAAATATTTGCTTCAGTCTTTGAGTATCATATTAAATAACTGATCTTGAGACTGTGGAAAACATTATTTAACAAGTCATTATTTAATATATGTATTGAAGGAATCTCAAACAGATCAGACTCTGTCTACATTAAAAAAAATTACTGTATGGATTTCTAGATTAGCCCCCTTTTCTAAATTTCATTGGAATTTTTGGTAGGAAAGGAAGTCAGTAGTATCTCCTTCTGCAGTCAATTCACAAGGCCACCCTGGAACTTGTCTCTCAAGGCAGCTGGAAACCCCTCCTGATGTTTCCCAGGTGTTTCAGGAAGTGATATATATTAATAGCTTCGGTTCTTCCTCCCGGTAAAGTCCTGGGGGTCTGGGAAAATATGTCTTGCTTGTTGGCACCTTGCTCTGTTTCTTCCTCTGTCATCTCTACCTACTTTTCCTTTCCTCTGTCATTAACGAGCAATAAAGTACATTACAAATGCATTTTGATATGCGTTGTTTCTCATCATGTTCTCAGTAAATTAAATGCTCATGACAGGCCAACCTTGATATTCCAAGACATGACACATAGGGCCCAGGAATGGCTTGACTTCTTCTGAATAAAGAGGGCTTTGGTTGCTGATGGGTCTCAGACAGACTGGTTCTCTCTGTACCTGAGACCATTGGGGAGTCAGAATTGAGATTCTTCCTTCCCTACCTAGAGGTAGAAACATCTAGTTTTCAAGGACATATGGCAGATGTTCATAATTATCAGACTTTGTGGGTTGCTGTTATACTCATTTATATCTTAATTGTATAAGTATAGAGGACTAACTGAAGCATGATCATGAAAAATTATTCTGTGCTTTACACTCTGTGAGTGTTAGAATTTATTGGCACCTGCTGTTGGCTAAGTTCACATTTTTGGTTGAGCTCTATCTTGGCTACTGCTTTTCTAGTTATCTGAGCTACAATCTGGCAGCTTGGGAGGCTTCATATGGCTCTTAAATGTTGTTTGGCACGTCGGGTGTTTTAAGGTTTTCTTGATTTTGTTTTTTGATGCCATTAGCAGAGGCAGGCAGTCTTGAGTCCCTTCATGACCTATTGTTGTGCACCAGCCTCTCCTTGCATGTTTAGTTTAACTGCCTGGACCAGGTAGGCATAAGAGTGTTGATATTTTGAGTCAGATAATCCACATGTTGCAAATTTCATTAAAAGATTGTCTAGGAAATGAAGTAATTTTCTAGTGAGAATGAGATGTGTATTTTAAGTAGTTTACAGAGAATTATTTTTTTCAAACTTGGCTGTTTAGAGTTGTAAATCGTATAATGCAGTTACACTTTCTTTGTTATGGGTATTTTTTAGTAAATTACTAGACTAGTGAGGAGTAGAAAGTTCTTACTGTTGAAAAATTATTTGTACAATTCATTTTCATTCTGTGTCTTAGCAGAATTGGAAGTTCCTTTTCTTTGGTTTTTGTTTTAATGAGATCAGTTACATTAAAGCATTAAAATAATTTCAATGATTCTTCTTCTCCCTGTGAGGGAGTTTTGCATTTCATCCATCTAAGAGTCATTTTCAGAATAGTATGTACTTATCTTTTTACTGTTAGCAGTTAAGTGGAGCCAAAAAATATGTATCTTTATTTTGTCTAATTAAATGTTGTTCCAA